CTTCCCTTCCCTTCCCTTCCCTTCCCTTCCCTTCCCTTCCCTTCCCTTCCCTTCCCTTCCCTTCTTCCCTTCCCCCTTTCTTTTTTCCAGTGCTGCCTTTTCGGCAGCCCAAAGCCAAGTTAATCCTGCTTTTGTGAAGTGCACTGATTGAGGATTTTAAAACTAGCTTATGGTCTTGTAATTACCTAATATATTTTTAAAGATCTGCATCTGAAGCACAGAGCTCATAGCGATGGTCTCAGGGCCAGCCGGACAGTGCTGACTGGTTTGCTATGATGCTAGAGTTTATTGACCTGGAAATTTATTTTTCTGACTGCACTCTTTGGGTTTAATATAGTCACAGTTATGTTTTCTAGGATAAAGACTGTTTGGGGTTAATGTAGATTTGTTTTTTTTTTTTTTAACCCCATGAAGATAGCTGAAGGTTTTTAAATGCTGTTTTTAAAGTAGCTTTATGTTTACTCCTCTAGTTTAGTTAGGAGGGATGCATCACTGCTAGGAATTGTGTATCAAACACGATTGATTTTAGTCATGTAAATGTGCTGGCCAGCTTTCCAGAGATCTGTTTGCCGTTAATAAAAATTAAAAACTTAGTCTAGTAGAAGATGAGCAATAAGCTTGGCACAGGAGGCTTTGCTTTTAAAGGAAATTGTTTGAGGGGAAGATAACTGCTTAAAATTTGCCTTTGCACTGGTATGGAAATGCAAGATTAGTATTAAAAAGAGTGATAATAAGGCAAGATGCTTGGACACAATTTTAAATATGTGAAAAATGTTTAGGAAAACCATTTTTCTTTCTCTGTTAACATCAGCATTTCAGTTCTTAACACCTTTGTTGCTCCATAGCTCATTAACTTGAAAGGTGGCCTAGGAGACATTCCAGAGTGTGTGGTTTCTTCCGAGGCACACCCAGACACCTCAGCCTTTTTGTATAATGAATGATCTAATTTAGATCATAACATATGTTTGTTTCTTAATATGACTGTGACGCTTTAGTTTCTTTTCTAAAGGAATGTGAAAGAGCCAAGCAGCTGGGGAAAGGTGCTGAGAAAATAATCTGTGCCCAGGAAGAAGAGGGGGCTGCCACAAATGAGGTTGCTTTTGCTGTAGGTGGCTACGGAGTTTCAGGAATGCAGAGACCATTGTAATCAAAGGATAGCAAAAGTTGTATTTGATTTATGTCCAGTAGGACATAAGGTTCAGATTCCATTAGGGTTTGTGTTTTTACCTGTGTTGGATGTGGCAACAGAGCTTGAAAAAATGTTCCCTTCCAGATGGGAGAGTTGGAACCAAGCATGTATGTGGAAGTCTAATTTGTGTGGGATGTTACAGTAGTACAAAAGAAAATATGTTGCTGTGAAAAAATCTTGGGAAATGGTAAGGTGTTGGGGGAAGAGGGAGGGACTGGCATTTTGCTGAAGGCACTTGTAAGTAGTTATTAAATACTGTCAGTACAAAAGTTTTGCAACGTTTTGTTTAAAAGGATGGTCGTTCATATACTAATTCATGAGATTGTCGTAAACTTGCATGCTTGTGAAATGTGTTTTCCAGAGTTGTCAAATGTCAGAGAAAACGAAGCAGGTAGCCATAAAAGTAGACAATCCAGATAATTTCAGCTAAGTTTTAAGTGGAGACTTTGCTGTGCTTATTCTGCAAAGGCCTGTGCATGCCTGTGTGCTACGTAAAGGAGTTATTAGTCCTCTAAAAACAGGAGGTATGCTGAGAGTATAAGCCTTCATACATTGCTGTTATTTCTTGCAATCCAAAACAAATTTCTGACTAAGTAGAGTAACACTTATCCTTTAAATTATTTGCTGTATAAGAAGATAGTGATATTAAGACTGCTACTTATTCTTCAGTGTCTATATGGGAATCGCGTATAACATTGTCAGTTTGTTCTGATATGTTGACATGTACCTATTAAAACCCCCCAGATCTTCAGTTTTTGTTCATCTAATACTGTCTTAAACTAACTGTAGGTAGCAAGTAAGTTATTGCTGATGTGCTACTTGTTAATAGTTGGAAGTACCTAGGTTTTATTTAGTAAGGGAAAAGAAAAGGCAAAAATAAAAGGGCATACAATAAATTCCTTTAAAAATGAATAAAATATTTGTGAGGCAAGCCTCGAGCAAAAAGGATGCTTGAATTCTAGCCCTGTTATCCAGAGATCTCAGCGCAGCAGTAGGCCTGTCGATTTGTTGAGCGTTGCATAACACCACAGGCACAGCCAACTCTGCTTAAAAAAGAAAGGAACTAAATAAACAACAGTTGATAGGAAGCATCACTAATACATAAAACAGTACGGTACATTTTATCTACATTTCCAAATATAATACATTTGATTGCGAAGAAAAAAGTCAACAATCATTTGCAGTCCATTAAATGTAGAACTCTAGCTTCCTTGTGACATTTTTGAGTATGTAGAGTGAAAATCGTCATTGGTGTCACTAATGACGTTCAAACTTTGTATAATTTGCCTGAGAGCTGAAGAGCATGTGTGTGACTTCAATTTTCCTTTTTTGTTATGTGACAAATATCAGTAACCTGTTAACAGTTTGCTATACAATGAGAAAGTAAGTTGTTTAGTGATATCTTTGCCCTGTTGGTGGGGTATTTAATTAACCGTGTGTATATCTAAGTTGATTATCTGTTACAAGATTCCCTTTAACATATGTAAGGTGTAAATATAACAGAGCTGTTGCAGTTAAGTGCATTATAGGATTTGACCTGTTAATTGAGGGGAAAAAATAATTGAAAATACACTCCTGGATAAGACCAAAACCAATTTTCCTGCTGCCAGCTAACAGCTTTTAGTTAGTGACCTGTATAAAAATGTTCTCCACCAGAGTTTTTTTCTATTATATTGCAATTTGAACTCTGTAGTTGCAAGTAAAGAGCTTATTAGAGAATGAAATTCTCCATATAATTGTTTTTGAGTGGCTATGCAGCAAGGTATTATTTTAGTTCTGTTGATCAAGTTGCTCAGAGTCAATACAAAACGTGAGTAAAATAAGTCATTTGTAACCCACAATGACTCTGTGTATAACTTCAGTAGATTTATGGCCGTGTTTGGACTGTATTGATGTTCTAATGAGACCATTATGGAACTGAAAGGCTATAGCAGTGGTATTAACAGAAAGTAATGAAAACTTTGCCTGGGAAGGAAGTCTCTAATTACTGATAATATACTTTATTATGTGATCTTAGCTGGCTAATTTTGAATTCTGGTACTTATTATGTAAGAGGAAGGTTGTCTGGGTTTCCCTTCTGGTTACTGTTATGTAGATTTTGAGGCTCTCAGTCTATTAACAGTGCAGTGAGGTATGGAAGACTTTTCATGAGGAAAAATACAAGAGCTACCTGGATGACCTCCCTTTTACAAAAGACAATCCAAGAGCAACAGAATTACGCTGTGTTTGGCAGAGTATCTTGTTCCTGCATTTTGAGAAACTGAGTGCTGTTGAGCATTGACAACAACTTTTACGCTGTGCAAAGCAAAGTATTCAGGCAAATGTGTCTCTAATACTTAACTAGAAGTCAAAGACATAATATACAGACTGCTTTATCTCTGAAGGATTCATGGTTCATGAGAAACCCTTCAGGCTGGGAGGGACCTCAGGAGGTCACCCAGTCTGAAGTGTCTAAATAGTGACTAACTGAAAGACAGTCACAGGGATATTTTTCTGCTTGTTCTGTTTTCTTCAAGGACAATATCTGTGGGAGGCTTTCTGTTCATCATTTGGATAGTTTCTAATGGAAACACTGTTCATAAAAGAAATGTCCTTAAACAGATTTGTGCTAGAGGTTTTTGTTTTATTTTTTTTTCCTTCCAGATGTTAACATCAGTTTAAGGCATTATGAGAGAAGGGGATAGAGTAAACAACTTGCAGTTTTTCTGAACAGAGTGGACGATGTTTAATACCAAAAGTGTGTTTGGGTTTTTTTTATACTTCTCTTTTTGTATTCTGCAGCAGCTAAGGACTGATACTTATGCAGTACAGTTTGTTCCAAAGCATTCAGAACCTGGCCCTATTTTC